TACAAGTCTCAAGATCATCAATTCTACCTCATTGTAATTCTTCAATCCCCCCCCAACCAAACTGCAGGTTCCCTTTTTAACTTAAAAACTTAAGAATTCAACTTTATTCATGAGTCCCTCTGATTTAGAGTCAAAGAGGTTCAAATCCATACTTAACATTGAATTCCAGGAATTTGGTTTTTAAAAAAAGGAAACACACACAAAATAAAAGAGTATATGCACGATTCCCCCCCCCCCAAAATTGTGTGCTGCAATTGAAATATTTTTTTTTCTAAAATCAGTCTGAACTCTCTGAAAGCTCTCTTTAATAAACTCATATAACTCCAGAAACTTTGTTTTCAAAAAAAAGGAACTACACAAAAAATAAATGAATATGCACAATTCCCCCCCCCCCCCAAATGTGTGCTGCAATTTAAAAAATGTTTTTTCTAAAATCAGTCTGAACTCTCTGAAAGCTCTCTTTAATAAACTCATAAAACTCCAGAATCCCATGAACTTTCTGTTGTAGCCCCAGTGTTCCCCAGCTTTGGGTGCACACCAGCAGCAGTTTAGCAGTTATTGGAATGGGTGGTTGGGGGGGAGGTCTTGAAACAGAGTTTCAGGACTGTTGTATAACTCGGTTCTCTCCACTACAAAGTGATGTTAGGTGAGGTGAGCTCAAGTGAAGTGAAGTAAAGGGGGAACACGTAAAAAAAATTCAAAAGAAAGAAAAAAGAAGAAGCCTTTTGTTTGCCTCAACTCGCATCACGCGCGTCCTTGTCCGCCTGCTTATTTATGCTCTATTTTCGCCTTTATTTCCGCCACACCGGGATTCGCAGCGCACAACTGGGGGGAGAAAAGCTTTTTTCTTTTCTTTCGCAGCTCCTTGTTCGTCCCTTCTCATAAAAAAAAGTGAGAAAATAATAATAATAATAATAACAATGATAGGAAAATTATATAAACGAGAAAAAGGAAAAGCCGAGTTGGAAACACTGTTTCTGATTCCATCTGTGTATATATACTGTATATTGTTGCGTTATCCCTGGCGCTGCTGCTGGTTCCTGCAACAAAGCAATTGTTTTACTGTGCCTTTCCACCTGGTACTTCTTCATTGTTGTTGTTATTATTGTTGTTGTTGTTGGTTCAGTGAATCGAATCTGAGCAAAATTGTCCCTCGAGAGATTTTTTTTTCCTCTGAGATCTTTTTGTGCGATTTTGCGTTTTCGATTGTTCGTCGGCTGGATTTTATTAGACGTACGTGTCGAATGTTTTTGGAGGTTGTCTGAATTCTGCGAGATTTGCGATATTCACGGAATACTCGACTGTATGCAGATTAATTTTGATTGCGTTATTGTTGGACCAATCAAATTATATTATAAAAGACAAGAGAATTAAATGCAATTTGAATGAATGAATGAATGAACAGAACACTTTATTTGCCGCTTTTCAGCGTTCACAAGGTTCAATCAAGATTTCCACAACCAAACCCATCTCAAATCAAATGCAATTTGATTTTTTATTCATTTGAGCATGCATTGATTATTTTATATGTTCGAACTTTTGAATTATTGTGAGCATTCCTTCACTGAAAGCTGGGTTTTACGTCTCAAACCCGGATCATTGTTAACTTAATTTTGCAACTCAAAAATGAAAGTGCTCATCTTATGCATTATTGGCGTGAAGTACTGTACTCCAAAAAATATTTTATGTTATATTAAGAATGTTGAAATAAATTTTCTAACCCGTCCTCAAAAAACATAAAACATGAAAAACATGGGATTCCACGAACATCCGGGTAACCTTGTTAAACTCAAACACTAAATAAATAAGTAAAAACATCCATTAACTTTAAAATAAGGTGTTTGAATCATTTAAAAATTCCCTGTAGCACATTCGATATTTTACTTTTCAAAACACGCAAATTCGGATTCAAGCGGTTTATTGTCTGAACCGACAAGAGAAATTTTCGGCAGCCTGAGTCCGTTGTGCGAAACATATGTTATCCGGAGTACAGTACCAGTGTACACTCATTGTAGTAACCTGACGCTTGAAAAATTGACCACCCAGGGTGAACCAGAAGAAACCCCACGGGGAACTCGTTTGGGAATTCGAAACAAAAATGGGGAAAAATGGGAATTCAGCCGAGTCGAATAATGGGCAGGTAATCGAGTGCAGATGTTTTGCGCAGACTTCTTTGCTTGAACACACAGGAAATCGACACTCAGACTTGTGCAAAAATAGACTTAACCCCCCCCTATTTTTTGTGCAAGAAATGAAAAAATAGTCGCTCTTGTGATCTTTTTTGAACGAATTTGTGAAAATGTGCAGTGGCTCAATTTTTTAGTTTATTTTGAATTGAAGAGAAGCTTATTAACATGAAATTATTTTTTTTACTGATTGTTTGAAAAATTTTAATCCCTGGTATAAAAAGCCTAGTCCAAAGTGCGAATTTTGCGGGTCATTTTTGGAAATGTTAGACATGGGTTTTTTTGCGAAATGCAAATCATTTTATAAATCTTCGTGAAATTTTAATTCGATCAAGTATCATTTTTCACAAATAAATCCCATCGTAAAACTTTCTTCAAAGTATTTCTCCGATCTTCGAATTGAGTTCATTCCCTTTTTGTACTAACCTCACATTCGAAAAAGAAAATCAAATCAAGAATGCCGGATTTGGAAATTAATGCAGAAAAATCCGTAATTTGATGCACTTTCTAAATAAAGAAATAAAAATGCACGGTGGGCATTGATGGAGAAACAATTTGCAAAATTTATCGTTGCGGATCATTTGTGGGATTTTTTGTCCACTTGTTTGCAAAATTTAAAATGAAATTTTTGCCTTCTTGCTCTTTTTGTCCTCACCTCTGAAACCTTTTTCCACGTTCCAAAAAAACGCCAAATTTGATTGTTTCGAACAAAATTGCGGAAGAGACAAACTTGAATATTCTGTTCGCCGATTCCTCAGAGGTTCACATCACAATTGAAAGAATATAAAAATTAATTAAAAATTGCGTTGCCACAACTTCGAACGAATAACGGGTGCGTGAAGAACGGGAAACCCAGAACAACGTTTTCCGCTAATCGTCACGCTCCTCTTTTTTTTGTACACCCTTTTCATCATTATTATTTTTTTGTTTTCTGAGCCCGCAAGGTGCAAGTTTCTCTAGTTTTTGGAAAGTAATCGGAGTGCAAACTTTATGACCCGTTTTTCCAAACAGAAGTGAACCAGGATAAAGCATGTGTGTGATGTAAGAAACCCGTCTTCCTTTTTCGGGGGTGATTCTTTTCCCCCAGGTTATATAACCTAACGGGTTCCCTAAGTCCAATATTTAATTAACGAGGCAAGAGGGTACGAGGAACGAATTGAAAGTGTACCTTTTTTTTCATCCTTCAAAAAGCCGGCTTTTGGACAATCAGAATTTTTATTGACTCTAGTCCGCAATTAAAAAAAAAAATGCAAGCCTGTCCAGAAAAAAAAATTGGAAAGATCCACAAAAGTTTCTCGTGAAATTACCTCAAAGATGAGGGTACCAGAATTTTCTAATTTTTTTTCCGGCTCGAATTTCTTCAGTCCGGGAAATTAGTGAAACCGTAATTATCTGGGCTAATGACCAGGTGTCTTCATATGGGTGAAAAATTAAAGAAACGTTTGTCCAAATGATGAAACAAATTTATTCCATTATGCCCTGATGTTTTTTTAAAAAACCTGAGTAGCCGCGTATCTAAAAAAATTATATGATGCTGGAAGAATAATTAGTTCATTTCTATGAGAATTGAAAGTTAAAATGAATTGCAATGAGAAATCACAGCCAGAATTTAGATTGAAATCCCTTCAGCTGAATTACGGTTGGCTTTCTTGGTTTTAATGACTTGCAATGATAAATATTTTTGATTGCGCTAATAAAAGATTTCCCTGTTGAATTCTGCTATGAAATAGCCAAACTCACCCAAAAGTGACCCAACTTTATCAAAAATGTAAATTCAATTGTGATGAAAATGGAGGAAGATCAAGAAATCCCTGATTTAATGCTGAATCACTTGGATGTTGATTCTGAACTGATTCTGATCTGATTTATTTTTTAGAGAAGCGCTGCTTACATAGGACAAATAATAATTAACCTTCATAAGGTTTTACTTTATAATTAAAGCAAGAAGGCTAATGTCGAGTATGCTGTGGTGCCAGGATGTTCCTGGCACTGCAATTTTGAGGAGGGGGGAATATTTTGTACTGTACTTCTTAGAATTGAGTACATTACTCTACATGGCATGCATGCCCAACAGCATTTATAGTGAAGGGCCTTTTTCAAAATTTTCAACTGGTTCCAAAATATCTGGGACACGTGAAATTTTATTTAAAAAAGGTCTCTTTCCAAAATTGTGGAGGCCCAAGATAAACTCTTAGCCTTGTACAATTTCTCCACAAAGATTCTTTCCAATTTATTTAATCAACTAAAAATTGTCTGGGAGCAGGCTGATCACCTTGTGCTTAAATTTGTGTTCATTTATTTCATTATTATGTCATTGTTTTTCTTGATCTTTTATTTGTATGATCTTTTGTGAGGGGAACAAAGTGTGCATATCTACATCAGTTGTGCATTTGTGCATACTTTGATGTATTTTCTTCTCTTTAATACCAAAAAAAAAGACTTATTCCTCTTCTTTCATTCTGATGTGATGGAATGTGTTTGGATGATTGTGGATATTGGGAAGGGGTGGGAACATTGTTTGGACTTTGTGAACGCTGAAAAGCGGAAAATAAAGTTTTTAAATCATCATCATCATCAACTGGTTGCATTTCATAATAAATCGCATCCTGGTTCTTTTTCTAATCTGAAATTCTAAGATTTCCTTGTATTTTGTGATGTGGCGTCCTCCAAAGGAAGTTTTTATTCTTCGTAAAAAAAAAATCCGAAATTCTCAAAAACTCGCGGATTCAGAGATAATTTTGTGATTGTCAATGTCTTAAGTGTTGCCCTTTTTTAAATCAATTTTGATGGTTTTTTGTTTTGTTTTGGAAATAGGGGTTCTTCAGTGGCGGGGAAGATGAAGGAGAAGAGCAAAAATGCGGCGAGGACCAGAAGAGAGAAGGAGAATGCGGAGTTTCTGGAATTGGCACGGTTGTTGCCGTTGCCGTCTGCAATCACTTCCCAACTGGACAAGGCCTCCATAATCCGCCTCACTACCTCCTATCTCAAAATGCGTCAAGTCTTTCCAGATGGTGAGTGAAGTTTCTGGAATTGGCACGGTTGTTGCCGTTGCCGTCTGCAATCACTTCCCAACTGGACAAGGCCTCCATAATCCGCCTCACTACCTCCTATCTCAAAATGCGTCAAGTCTTTCCAGATGGTGAGTGAATTTTTTCTTGCTTTTCAAAAATCCAAAATGAAATTTTAAAAAATGACGGACGAAAATAAATCGGAAATTCTTGCTTTTCATGGGGACCGACTGGGAGACATTTGAATTCTCATGCAGTAATTATGCGGGAAACTACATGGAAATAACCCACAGAAATAATTTTCTAAAAGTTCGTCAAGTGAATTTTTTTTTTCAGCTTGATGACTAAAGAATTTTAGTCAGGAGCTTTGAAAATCAATGAAGCCATTGTAACGGAATCTTACGTGGAGCTTTCATTCCGATTTATTACGTGGAAGTATGACGGAAATCGTGCAAAAAATATTCTCGACATTCGCAACATATTTCTGCATCTTCAATCCACAGGATTTGTTTCTTTATTTGGAAAGCTGAATAGTACGAAATGAGAGTTTTGCATTCGTGCCAACAAATTTCTTTCTAGAAGGTCGATTTTTTAAAGTTAATTTTTTGTATATTTTATTTTCGAATATGGAAATTTCTCGATTTTTTCGGTGAGGAAT